GCCTCCTGACAGAAGAGAAACTGGTCAACACCTAGGCTCCATGTACCTGCTCCACTTCAGACTAAAAAAGTCAGCCTTCTATCACCTAAAGAACATTTCCAGAATTAAAGGAATAACATCCCAGCAAAATGTAGAGAAAGTCATCCATGCATTTATTACTGCAACAGTGATCAGAGGTCTGCCTAAAAAAAAAAAATCTATCAGAAAGCTGCAGCTGATCCAGAATGCTGCTGCTGGCTTCCTCACTAAAACCAGGAAGACTGGCCCAGTTCTAAAGTCCTTACACTGAGAAAATAGACTTAATTGTTAGTTTATTTAATGTCATTTAAGATTTTTTTATTAAATAAAAGTAACAATAGCTGTTGACCTGAAAATAGAGCATCATTCATTATCAAACAAAGTAATAAAAACAAAGAACAGTTCTGACTAACTGGAGCGATTCCTATCGCTAACCGTTCAAAGGAATCCATTCGCTAGTGAAGGACACCTCCGTTAGAATTATTGTGTTATCATTCTTACATTAGTAGTTTTACATTGATCACTCTTATCTTAGTAGTCTTATATTACCATTTTGATTTACATTTAGAAATGTTAGCTTTTTACTGTGCGTGTTAAAACTTTTGACTGCTGTGTTGAAAAGTTTTGATCCACTCACAGAATGTATCTGCAGCTTGATTATCTCTAATAACAGATTGTTCTCCCCATCCTTGGGAGAAATCGCTCTCATGAGAAAGGACTAGATGACCTGTGGTAGAGACAAAACTTGCCTTTTCTTTTTATCTCTCTCTTCTCTGACAATAAAGACAAGCTCTAACTGAAAGATTTCAGAACATCCATTGAACGACTTGCAGGAGCAGTTTGCTGAGTCTTCTCGCTTTTGCAAAAGCTTGATTGGAAACTAATATGCGTTGTCTGTGGTTCTTTTATGTAGGTTGAGAAATTACCCATCAACCTCAACATTCAGCAGCTACGACTCGGCTTCCTCTGTGTAGTCCTGGAGTCGTTTTCTTTTCACCAGTATCTGTAGCTTTTCTTTTGAGTAACCCGTTTTAAGCCAGATTAACATGATTATTTTTTAACACAATCCTTTGGTAAGCTAACTATAGCGTGGCACTTTGACCTCACAGTACCTCGCGGACCCTAGGGGGCGCCCGCGGACCACAGTTTGAGTAGGACTTATCTAGACCAAAGACCTACATGTTTAGAACTGATTTTGAACCATAATAAATGAAACATTGACCATCATATTTGATGTGATGTTAGCAAAGCCAGCTGTACAGAGACACATATGTTGCATTTGTGATGAAAAAAAAGCTGTCAGTCACTACGCTGAATTATTGTGCGGAGGTGTTGACTGATGTGTCGGATGTATGGGACAATGCGGTGACCAAAGTCTGCAATATAGTGATGTGACATTCATGAACGATTTGAATCCTCTGGACGGCTCTTTACTAAGAAGATAGGACTGGAGCCTCACTGAGAGCCATTCTTTGTTCCTGTAATGCTCTGCGTACACCGCAGTAGCCATTATTATTTAATTATGTACATTGATATTTTTTAAATTAGCGAATAAATAAAACATAAGAAAGGAAAAGCAAGCAGAGAATGCTCATTGCTCTTAGATTGTTTTGTCACCCGTCGTGGCAGACATTACAGCACTGTATGCTGCCTGGCTTCATGCAGCGGGAGAGAGGGTGAGAACAGTCACCGTGTGCACCTTGTGCTTGGTTAATTCTTGCTTGTTGCTCCTTGGTCAGTGTTCATAGTTGAGCATTGTTTACAGGGCACTGCCTTACTTGCCATGTTTAATGGTGCAGACAGAGGTAGTTTCAGACATGAGCGATATGGGCAACAGCCCAGGGGGTTATCTTTTTAGGGATGCCATGAGACCTCCGCGGATTGTAGTAAGATGTAGATGGAAGCAAAGCAGAACAAAGAGATTGAATTGATAATAATATTAGTTAAATTTATTTCAGCTCTAAGTATTTAATATCTTGGTGTTTTTATGAGAATGTGAATCTTTCAGATCAATTTGAGAACCAATTTTGATCATATTTCACATTTTATTGTGTAATGTAGCGCGGTCTTTGTCTTGACTCTGTCTCGACTTCCCTTGGTCTTGGTCTCGGACAGTAAAAGGTCTTGGTCTTGTCTCGGTATCGATACACTCTGTTCTTGGTCTTGTCTTGGTCTCGGGTTAGATGGTCTTGACTAAAACACTAGGTTTAAGTATTGTCCCCAATGTCTTCCAGTAACATAATTACCCAGTAATATTTTACATTTCCTGTCAGCTTAACATCCAGGCGCCCCGCCTCGGTGCCCCGACCGCACCGAGGCGAAGCAAGTTTTCTGGGGAAACCCTGAACTTTAGTTTTGTTTTCTGTTCAGCTGGAGAAAGTTATGGTATATCCACACGTAGAAAGATTTCTGGGAGAAACCCTGTCAGGTACAAGTTAAAAGCTATGATCCATCAGTAGGATGATCACAGAGATTCTTTATTTCCTGTGAGATTTTTAATCGAGTCTTATCGTTTAACTTGCTGCAGGTTTTTCCTTTCATGGTCAGAGTTTCTTACTGAATATAAACAAAGCTTCTACAAAAGGACACTGGTTGTGCTTTAGTCCTCAGGGAGAAAAATCTGAATCTGTTGGTGTGTCCTCAAAGGAAATTGGCAGCCTGACAGTAAAATACTGATTGGAGAATCTTGGCTATTAATTCTAAAGATAAAGGTAATTTTATTTATATAGCAGATTTTCAGCAAGAAGGCAATACAAAGTGCTTTACAGGAATTAAAAGCAAATACAAACCAAAGGAAAATAATCTAAAATAATCCTTTTCTGGGTTATATAGTGGATACTCCACAGTTTCTAATAGGTAGACTAGTAATATTGGTCTAAATGTTGAGTACTCTTCAGTTTCTAAAAAATAAGCTAAGAGGAATTCATCAGAGCACAACATTTAAACACCCCTGACATACACGCTAATGTGATTAACCTCCAGCTGATTGAACCTGCAGAGGCTGAGGGTGTTTCTAATCATAACTTCAAATATGCTCTTCTTCTGCAGTCGCTTGTTCTGATAAAATCTTCACCTGCTGAACGTAAACCTCAACCCAATGAAATTCTGCAGAATGCAATGCAGTGCGTCAGTTTTCTCACCATGCAGCCATCATTGCTGGATGTGGTCAGGTCGACTGTTTTACTGACAAGGTTTTTTAGGATCTCCATCCTCTTCTCAGCGCGCTCCTCCAAGATCTCCCTCTCCTTCTCCAGACGCTCGCTGCCAAAGAGAAGAGCTGCATTATAACAGGACCTCATCAGCAGCAGGCAATCAGAGGTAGCCTCCTCACCTGTAATCTTTTTCCATCTTGTTGAACAGCTCCATGAACTCAGAGCTGACTTCTTCTCTGATTTGAGCCTCCAGAACCAAACGGAGTGCCGCCTCCTGATCAGACAGAAACACACAAACACAAGTTTGTATTTCTAAAAATATTTAGTCCATTCTTTTGTGCCAAACCATAAAATTCAGCCCAAACCTCAACCATTACCGAAACCTAAACAAGCAGCAACTGAAGGAAACTCACCTTCCCCACTTCCTCCTCCATAGTCTGGTCCCCATCCTCCTCCCCTCCAGTCTCGAGCACTGTTCCCTCCATCGCACTCTCTTCCTCTTCCTCCCACTCCTCATGGTCTTCAGCCTCCGGGACATCTTCCAGGCTTGTCTCCCAGGCAACGAGCGAGCTCCTCCTGCCCTGGTTCAGCATGTTTCTGCGCTGGTCAGCTTCATTGATGAAGAGAGACAGCTCCATTGCTGACTTGTGGCAGGCGCTGTTGTCCAGGGCAACAGGCTGGGAGGTAACCGTCACCACCTGGACAAGTGAGGAGAAGTGCTGCTCAGACAATGCATATGTGTCTTAAACATGTGTGGAGGTTGAAGGAGCACCACATAAAGAAATTCAACCCAGATAGCACATGATGTTAAATCAACGTTGAAAAATAGTTAGAATCGTTGATTTTTGAT